TTTTTTTTTAATGTTAAATAATTAATAATAAATTTTTAACGTTAATAATTTAATAATATTTAGAATGAATTATATTAAATAATATTTTTTGTCATTTATATTAGTAAAAAATGAATGCTAATAACACTTTTTTTTACGAGTGTACATGCGCGAAAGTTCAGCTGCGGCTATATTCAGACTCGCCAAGCTACGTCAGTCGTATTGTAATGAGCGATTTAGTGGGCAACTTCATTTCTGTTAATTTTGTGTCACGGTGCGCGCGCATCGTAAAATTTCACTCTCATCAAATTTTTCATAACGCGCCTAAAGAAGTACTATAACTTCAAAAACGACAAAATATACTTTCCATCTCATTTAAATTAAGCCACACCTTAAAGTTTAAAGCTTGAAGTATTAAACTTGAAACTAAAAAAATAACAATAAAATTCTTCAATTACATTTTTGGCGTTTACAAAAAAAACAAGAATTTTCGATTACGTCACTTAATTTCTAAAGGTGCGATATATAACTTGGGTCCTTTTTTCATATGTTAAGTAGTGTTCCTAGATTACCTCTACTCTCTACATAAGGCTATTATGGATGACTCCACATTTCTTTACGTGGTTTATTCTTGGCTTTCCACGGCCCAGTTTTATTTTTAGACCCACTAAGGACCCTTGACGGTGTTCCGAAGGCGTTCCATATTTATATACAGGCTTAGGATTTTTGTATTTTTTTTTTTAGTTTACTTCAGCTTGCGTGTTGCCAACATTCCGATAATTACCCTGATTTAGGGGAAAAACGTATGTTTTGCGTATAGATATAAAAAAGTATTTAAGTAAATTTGTATGCTTGTGACGTACAATACTGAAATGGTTTGTATTTAGGAACGTCTTGTAAGTCCGCACGGGTAAGTTCGGTAGTCTGCCTATATCTGCCGTGAAGCAATACGCCATCCACCTTGAGATATAAGTTCTAAGATCTCAGTATGGTTCAGTTGGTAAGCACTTAATCAGGTAGGGCCGTGAGCTTGTCCACCCATCTAAGCAATGAAAGAATATAAATAGTCCAAGCCTGATGTCAATACATATTATTGATAACATTCCGTAGTAAACAAACTTTACATGGACAGACGGTCGAGTTCACGGCCCTCCAATTGCTAAGTGCAAAGACACAGGAGTTCATAGACATCACATTACGTCTAAATATCGATTGTGTAGTATGACGGCTGTTCCTCGAATCAAACCGAAACACATTACTGCTTCACGGCAGGAATAGGCAGGTCGGTGGTACATACCCGAGCGGGCAAACGAGTCTTTCTCCCACCAGTATTTTTTAATGGCCTACCACCCCTACTATTAACTAGTAAGTACCAGAAATTAGTTAATGAAACAACGGATATTGGTTTCGAAAATCATGTGCGCAATTCAGACGAGTTCGAAGTGAAACCTCCAGGAGTACTCTATCTCACTCTCTCGCAGGTTAAATCCTGCGGACGTATAATGTTGTCTCTTTTTAGCATACATTACTCTTTTCATCGAGCTTCGAAACAGAACGGTGCCAAAGAAGTTTTCATTTCAATTAATCTTAAAGTGACCAAAATAGTATATTTTTTATTTATTCCCTATGGCTTCGTTAATCATATTATATTTTGGTTTCTGAAGCAGATTGACATATATCCTACCTATAGGTTATTAACAATGACAAGAGCACAGCCGAGTCTCGGCCTACCGCCTTCTCGAACTAGATCAAATCTCGTCAATCAAATCGAATCAAATCACTTTTTACTGGTGGTAGGACCTCTTGTGAGTCCGCGCGGGTACCACCACCCTGCCTATTGCAGCCGTGAAGCAGTAATGCGTTTCGGTTTGAAGGGTGGAGCAACCGTTGTAACTATACTTGAGACCTTAGAACTTATATTTCAAGATGGGTGGCGCATTTACGTTGTGGATGTCTATGGGCTCCAGTAACCACTTAACATCAGGTGGGCTGTGAGCTCGTCCACCCATCTAAGCAATAAATAAAAAAAGAACCAGTAATTACGCAAATTGTATTTTTAGCTTTCATTCCTTACAATTCACTATGAAGCCCCAGCGAGGCACAGATGTGGCAAGAATTAGGAATGCCCTCTTCGTCAAAGAGCGGATTAAGTGGACTCAAGTGGTACATGCACTCGCCATTGTCATTTTTGGCTTCAAACTTTAACAGATGAGACCGCTTCGGTAGCGCGCGTTCCCGTTTTTGGGCTGCGATTAATAGGATTTATAATGATTTGATTTCGGAGAGAACAATATGGCGCCGCGCGTTATGCGGTGTTGTGAGATTGGATAAAAATCAATCTAAAACAGTTTCTATGTGAAATATATGAAATGTTATATGTTAAATATTGACGCATAAGTTTTCTATGGAATTACATTCGTGTTAGAGATGTTGTTTGTTTCAGAAATAATGACGTGTTTTAATTTTAGCACAACAAAAATTTGGTTAATTTTTTTGTACAATTCATTACAGTCTTGCACAGATGATCTTTTTATTAAAGATGTGATTTTAAACCTCTCTTTACTAATCCTATAGTTCCTAGATTATTCTCTTTTCATAATGTAACTTTTTTCTTCTTCTTTTTCTTAATTTTTTGGCTCCAGCACGGTTTGTGCATTAGCCAGCGTCAAGTAATAAGATTTTTATAATTCGCCGTTTTAATTATTTACAGTTTATGAATAATAAAAAACAAATAAAAGGACACTAATCACGACATAAGATAATTGATTAAAAACAAATTAAATTTACAAATGAGATGTTATGTGATGAAATATAATCTCAGTAAAATAGTGGTCATTTACTAAGACTTTTTCAGTGGATTTTGGGAGGATCGCGAGAAGCTACTTCCAGCGGCTTTGTTTCATTTTCCCACAATTGTGCACTTTCACAGATTCTAAACAATAAACCATCGTTATTGCACATTTAAGCCCGAAAAAACATTAAATACACAAAATAAAACAATTCACACAACTTCGTTCCTCGCGTTCCCGCCAAAAAGTACTTAACTTTTTTTTATTTACGTATCAATCAAATTTTTTTTCCACGAAAACCACAGATAAAGTAATAACAACAATTGGCACCAAAAACAAGAATCATTTACCCACCTAAAACATTCGGATATCGAACAATGCAAAACTAAAAATTATAACTAGAATTAGGGTTGATCCGCACACAAGATAACATTAAAAACTGTTTAACATTTGGCCCCCAAACGTTTCGCCCCTCGTTGAAGCTCCGTTCTAATCAATTCGCCACCCGTCATACCGCGCCATTAATATCCTGCACACAANGTGGACAGAGATTTTCATCACCTGAAGAAGCTGTGGACGCCTACAAAACGGCCATTTTGGAGACCCCAACTTCCGAATGGAATGGTTGCTTCAATGATTGGTTCCATCGTATGGAAAAATGTGTCAAATTTCGCGGAGAATACTTCGAAAAGCAATAAATACATTTTTAATTAGTAATGTTGTGTCACTTCGTTAATTCCCGGAATTTTCAGTGCCGCCTATGTATTATCGAATACATAATCTGTTATATTAGAAACTGATAATGGAATGAAATTAAATAGAATGTATCGAGTGTGGGAGTCTACTGAGAAACCATTAGACTTTTTTGAAGAAACCGTGAACATATTCAGTGATTCTGTTTCATTTTCTTAATTTTAAAAAGTCGTTTCCTACATTTTTTTTATTGCATAGATAGGTGGACGAGCTTACATTCCACCTGATGTTAAGTAGTTACCGGAACTCATAGACATATACAATGCGGCAGCACCCTTGAGATATGAATTCTAAGGTCTCAGTATAGTTACAACGGCTGCCCCACCCTTACAAACCGAAACGCATTACTGCTTCACGGCAGAAATAGGCAGGGCGGTGGTACCTACCCGCGCGGACTCACAAGAGATCCTACTACCAGTAAGGTTTAGTGACATTAATTGCCCAAGTGCCCAAGTCCAAAAACTTCTCTTAAAGTGGTATTATAATGATAAAATAATGAAATGAAATGATAATGAAATAAAATAATGATAAGGTTTATGTCTGTATATAAGGTATTTGTAAATTGGGAGTTAATTCTATCTCGACTTTTCCGAGGTTTTCTAAACGATCAAGCAAATGCCATATTGCTCTTTCGATCCTTCACCGCAAATCTCGACATCTTTATCGTTAAGTCATTCTTTGTTAAGCACATAACGCTGTCCCAAGCCTGAGTCCAGGGACAGCGCCAATCTAACCGTGTTCAAGTGGCGTGTAATAAGCAGCGGTTTTCGCGCGCATGCGTCCTCCTCCGCGGCTTTTGTGTCCGAAATTGCAACAAATGTCACCGCCGCTCGTAAGCCTATTATCTGATGGATTATCTGTAATGAAATATCTTTAATATGTATTAGTTTCGTTTTGCTAGCCCAGAGCCGGTGCGGTTTGTTGATCCGCCAATGTCGCTGTGCGATTACGAGGGATAGTTTTGCGTGTCTCATCAGTAACTGGAGGTAGGACCTCTTGTGAGTCCGCACGGGTAGGTACCGCCACCCTGCCTGTTTCTGCCGTGAAGTAATAATTCTTTTCGGTTTGAAGGGTGGGGCAGCCGTTGTAACTATACTGAGACCTTAGAACTTATATGTCGAGGTGAGTGGGCCATTTACGTTGTAGATGTCTATGGGCTCTAGTAACCACTTAACATCAGGTGGGCTGTGAGCTCGTTCACCCAACTAACCAATAATAATAATAATAAAAAGTCGGTGGTGGCCCAAATGCAAAAAGCAGTCTTGCTCGACAATGCCCATATAGTTCGCCGGTTTCTTTCCCAATAGTCCCTAACGCTCCGGCGGATTGTGCCCACCTCGCCGGAGTGTGTCCTGCCGTCTGCCCAGGCGAGGCAGTGTTTAATACACATAATAATAATGGCCGGGTATATTACTCCGGGGTCTCATGCCCGATATTCCCTTCTTTATGAGGTATGGTTACGTTTGTGATTGTTCCCAGGTGTCAAGCTGGTACCGGCCGCTGCGTCGTGGATAAGGCGCATAGGAATCAGTGCCAAGCGTGCAGACTGAAGAAGTGCCTCGCCATGGGAATGAATAAAGATGGTGAGTTCTAGACCGTGCTTATGGGGTAGCTCTGATGAGCTGGTGTCCTTTTTTTTATTGCTTAGATAGATGGACGAGCTCACATCCCACCTGGTGTTAAGTGTTTACTGGAGCCCATAGACATCTACAACGTAAATGCGCCACCCATTTTGAGATATAAGTTCTAAGGTCTCAAGTATAGTTACAACGGCTGCCCTACCTTTCAAACCAAAACGCATTACTGCTTCACATCAGAAATAGGCAGGGTGGTGGTACCTACCCGCGCGGACTCACAAGACCTCCTACCACTAGTCCTCCACGCGGAAACGAATTATGTTAAGTTGGTGTGGTGAGCTGTAGTCTTCGATCCGGGAACGAATTAGATGAAATTGGGAACACTAACATTTTGAAAGGCAAATACAAAAGTTCTGTTTTGCGAATATGTTTGCAACAAGTATTAGTTTTTCTCAAGATGTATTCATGTGTTGTGAGTAAGTTAAGTGGTTACCGTAGCTTATGGACGTCAACAATACGACGTGAGGTCGAGGTCTCAATGGTATTGTTTAGGCAGTAATGGACTTAGTACCTTTTTTTTTTTTTTATTGCCTTTGTAGGCAGACGGGCATATGGCCCACCTGATGGTGAGTGGTTACCGTCGCCCATGGACTTCAGCAATGCCAGGGGCAGAGCCAAGTCGCTGCCTACCGCTTAATACTCTCCATAAGCCTCGTTTGAAGAAGGACATGTCATAGCGCTCGGGAAACACCGTGGAGGGGAGCTCATTCCATAGCCGGATGGTACGCCTTCCCGTGCAGGGTCGTAATGCACAAGAACTAACTCGAACCCAATTTTTTTTTAAAATAATCAAGTGTATTACATCATTGTGGATATCGTTGATTGCTAGTATCTGTTATCTACACGTCACATTCGATACGACTCTACAAGTTACAATGAGGCTTAATATCATACTAGTGGTCCCTCAGTACTCGAAATTCGAGTATAATTAATTGAGCTTATAAGTTTGAACATTATTAAGGTTCTATTGTCAATGACTATTAGACTTTCTATAATCACAGATTTCGCCAAGACTATACTATAGACAAATGATATTAAAGACAAACAATATGTACTACGATTAATCTATTCTAAATTTGACCACAGAAATGAAACAATAAACAAAAGAGTATTTAAGCGTGTGTGTGGTGTGTGTGTCAAATACACGGTAGTCTGTGTAATGTTTTTTTTATTGTTTAATGTATTTTTTATGCATAATTGTAAAAAATATTAGTATTGTGTACTCCTGCTCCATATTCTCTATTAGTGTGGGAAATTTCATACTCCACAGTCCGCGCAATTTTCGAAAAAAGGGGTACAAAGTTTTTGCTTTACGTATTAAATATACAGATTTATTCATCCTTCGGATACCGGTCAGGATGTTAGAGCGAAATTATAAAATTATTGAATCGTCATTAAGGACCAATGACGATGCGCGTGTAAATTTTGAAGTGAATTTGTGTGTTGAATGAAGTTTTGAAAACAGTCAGAATGACGTTCAAAGATTAAGTATCATCCAAACAAACATACACACATACGAAGCTAATAAAGGCGGGTAAAATGAAGTTCGTATTACTGCGTGGGATGGTATACGTCAGAGGGAAGAAAGATCTTCTATCGAGCGGGTAATATTTCTCGGTAGACCTCAATATCACTGGTGGTAGGATCTATTGAGAGTCCGCACGGGTAGGTACCACCGCCCTGCCTATTTCGGCCGTGAAGCAGTAATGCGTTTCGGTTTGAAGGGTGGGGCAACCGTTGTAACTATACTTGAGACCTTAGAACTTATATCTGAAGGTGGGTGGCGCATTTACATTGTAGATGTCTAAGGGCTCCAGTAACGACTTAACACCAGGTGGGCTGTGAGCTCGTAAACGCATATACGCAATAAAAATATAAAAAAAGACCGACGGTCCGAATGTTGTTGTTCGTAGCTTGTTTATATGGAAGCTTATCTTGAAAATGTCGTTAGCGAGATTCAGGCGTCTGTCCAAATATCTTGTGTCCTATGATGGCTAAGCATCTTCAGGTTTGCGATCCCCTACTGGCCTTGAAAAAGACATAAACAATTCTGATAGCGTTTATTATGTCCAACATCATCAGCCTGTATCTCTCCACTGCTGGATGTATGCCTCTCCCATAGTCCGCCACAATAAACGATCCTCCGCCTTCCGCATTCAATCTTTTCTAGCATATCGCCGCAAGTCATCGGTCCAATTATTATTATGTCCACTCGCGTTCGATGCCAGATATTACCGTCTCAATACGCATTGCGAGAAGCTAACTTAAAGTCATATTTCCGGAAGCCGGCGGACAATGCGCGCCTGCCTTAATTTCGCTGCACCTCTGCCGACGTATAAACAGTACCGGGGGCCCGGCGAATTGTCGGGTCCGATCACTTCACGGTCAGTCAAGTCTTTCTCGTGCATGGGACGGAGCGCGCTTTACAGATTTAGCTCCGGTAAATGTTTTGACGTGTATGACATGTTTGTACAGGCCTGCGTTGTGAGAACAAGGGTAGTTTTTTTTTATTTTTTTTATTGCTTATATGGGTGGACGAGCTCACAGCCCACCTGGTGTTAAGTGGTTACTGGAGCCCATAGACATCCACAACGTAAATGCGCCACCCACCTTGAGATACAAGTTCTAAGGTCTCATGTATAGTTACAACGGCTGCCCCACCCTTCTAACCGAAACGCATTACTGCTTCACGGCAGAAAATAGGCAGGGTGGTGGTACCCACCCGCGCGGACTCACAAGAGGTCGTACCACCAGTAATTACGCAAATTATAATTTTTGGGGGCTTCATTTTTATTACACGATGTTATTCCTTCACCGTGGAAGTCAATCGTGAACATTTGTTGAGTACGTATTTCATTAGAAAAATTGGTACCCGCCTGCGGGATTCGAACGCCGGTGCATCGCTCAACACGAATGCACCGGACGTCTTATACGTTAGGCCACGACTTGTTTGAGTTTGTTGTTGGTGGTAGGGTTATACCATAATCCTGCCGCGAAAGAGTGTGTTCCAGTTTGAAGGGCGGGGCAGCCGTTGTGCGTGTCTTGAAGTGGGTGACAGCATTTACAATATTCTTTGTCGTATCACTCTTGTCAGAGCGGTCGTGGTAGGGCTATACCATAATACTGCCGTGAAAGAGTGCGTTCCAGTTTGAAGGGTGGGGCAGCCGTTGTGCGTGTATTGAAGTGGGTGACAGCATTAGCAAATTTCTTTGTCGTATCACTCTTGTCAGAGCGGTCGTGGTAGGGTAGTACCATAATCCTGCCGCGAAAGAGTGCGTTCCAGTTTGAAGGGTGGGGCAGTCGTTGTGCGTGTATTGAAGTGGGTGACAGCATTTACAATCTTCTTTGTCGTATCACTCTTGTCAGAGCGGTCGTAGTAAGGTTATACCACAATCCTGCCGCGAAAGAGTGCGTTCCAATTCGAAGGGTGGGGCAGCCGTTGTGCGTGTCTTGAAGTGGGTGACAGCATTTGCAACTTTCTTTGTCGTATCACTCTTGTCAGAGCGGTCATAGTCGTCATTCGGTGTTCGCTGTGGGCAGATGTTATGCGCCTTACGAGCAATCGCCACTTATCCCGGTTCGTGGTGACCCTGGTACACTCATGTAAACAATAGTCAAATATCGACTTGATTTGGTCGGTCTATCGCATGGCCAACCTTTCACGCGATCTGGTGCCTTCTACTTTGCCCTGAACGAAAAGGCGCTCTGTGGAGTCTATAGGTTTCCGTTAACCCCTTGATATGATTTATTTAATTAAAAGAAAGTGTTGGTTTAACGTTTTTCTATATTTTGTTGTAAGTTTACCTCGCTGGTGGTGCTCAATTAAATTGGGCGTATTGTTAACCCGCACAGGTAGGTTTCTGCCCATTTTGCCGCGAAATTTTCACGCGTTAATATTTTTAGGGTAGGGCAACTGCTATGCCAGACCCTAACTTGATGATGATGATTCTTTTCTATCTCTCTTGTTTTAACTTACAGCGGTATTTAGGAGGGTCAGAATTCGGAGCTTTCAAAGCTCATTCTCCACCTACCTGTCTTTCCATGGGAAAAGGCGTTTGTGAATGACGGTCTAATGTCAAATTTTAATCGAGAAAACTAGGCACAAGCGAATACGCATCGTCTGCAAATATTTATGGCTCATGAATCCAAAGAGATCGTGCATTCCAGTGTGAACAAAGGGTTGTCCTTCGGTCGGTCACGTGTCGCCGTGTGGCCCATACTGCGTATACAAATTATGGCCCAGCGTTTCCCCTCTTAGCCGATTCGCTCCATTATAAGAACTTGATTCATGCATAAGTTTGTTGGCTTAGTGTATTGTTCCGATCGAATGGATTTGCTGTAATAATTTAATGCAAATTTTTGTATATATTTTTTTTTTTCAACGTGGACACGTACAATTGGATAGACTTCCACACTGATGAAATAAAAATCGAACCCGCAAAATTATAGTGGTGGTAGGACCTCTTGCGAGTCGGTAATGTGTTTTGGTTCGAAGGGTGGGGCAGCCGTTGTAACTATACTGAGACCATAGAACTCGTATCTCAAGGTGGGTGGCGGCATTTACGTTGTAGATGTCTCTAGGCTCCAGTAACCATTTAACACCAGGTGGGCTATGAGCTCGTCCATCCATCAAGCAACAAAAATAAAAACGTATTATGATCAAATTAGGCGGCCCCAAATTAAAATTGCCTGTCTTATGGGTATCAGAGACTATTTTTTTTATGATTGAAGGATCACTGATAGCCCGGAGGCCATTCCAGTTTCACCAGGACAGGTGGGCGAGCAAAGGCTCAGCCAGGAGGGGTGGGATTTGCTAACAGCTGCCCGAGCGCCTCCGAAGGAGACCTAACAACTCAAGAGCAACTGATTCGCGAATGAATCTACTACCGGATCGGAATCGCGAACCACTGAGAAGATCCGGCGATTTTACTGGTGGTAGGACCTCT